ACTTCAATCTGCCATGTGGTATCCAGTACACTTAAATACTAGGCTATGGGGCCAGCCTTCAAATTCACAACTTTTGGAGCCAGCAGGTGGTATAGTGGTTAAGGGCACTGAACTCCCACATGGCCAACTGTGGTTCAAGTGCCAGACCTGGCAGCTTGCTTTCTCACTTTCTCTCTCTCTCCCCCCCTCCCTCTCTGGTCAAAATTTAAGTGAATAGATAAATAAAGTTAAATAAAATAATTCTTTTAAAAAGATTCATGACTTTTAGCTAGAATTATCTGCCTCACTCTAATCTATTTCCCACATCATTGTCACCTTTTAAAAAAAAATCAGTCATGGAATTATATTACAGAGTTTGTAAAGATTAAAGCCTAATTATTTTGCAGTTTATACAAGGCCTCCATGATTAGATGACTGCCTACTCCTCCAGCTTCAGCCTCTGCTGTATTTCCCACATTCCCTCACACCACTCCACCCTACCCACCTTGGCCTGACTTTACTGCCCATTTAATCACTTCTCAAAACTTACTGTGAACCACACACTGTGCTAGGCACTAGTACTCCAAATCTGAATAAGGTGTGGACTCTGTTAAGAAAGAACTTAATATGTAAGTAAATGCTGTAGAATATGATTAATAAAGCAAGGATATAAAGTGGTTTCTCTCTCCCCAAAGCATTTAACATGACAGTATAAAGGATGCCTTGGAATTTGTCACACGAACATTAAGATATTCCAGGTAAAGTACAGATATGTACAACAGCACAGATCTAAGAAATCAAACCCCTTTTTGGAGAGTTATAAATAATCCAAAATGACCAAACCATTGATTGTTGGTGGGGTTAAAAGGATGCAGGTTGAGAAGGTGGGGTTAGATACTAAAAAAAACTTTCATGTATCAAAGGAGTGTGTTCTTTTTCTTGCAATAGTATGATCAGATTTCCTTTTTCTAAAAAAAAAATTGTTCCATCATAATAGTAATTTATTAAGATAGGAATCATTGATCAGTATTACAACTAGTAGATGAAAGTTTGAAGAATAAAGGATATTCACATAGTTTCTAAATATCTCTTCATATGATATTTATTAAATACAAAGGGGAAAACAGTAATTAATGGGCAAAACAGTAATTAACAGTGGCAAAAACTCAGAAGATGCTACATTAATTAGCTTATCAAAGTTAATATCACAGTAATGGGACAAATCAACATGAGGAGACTCCTGATATAATACACTGAGAAGAATGCAACAGCATCACGCCTGTGATATTCCTACCAAAATACACGATCTGGGACCAGCAGTTGGCATAGTGATTAAGATGCTGGACTCTCACATGGCCAACCGTGGTTCAAGTCCCAGACACAGCAGCTTGAAACTAAAGCTGAACACATATGTGTGCATGCCCAGGATCCCAGGAAGAGTGTGGAAGAGAAGGGATTACAGCATGGCCATCCATCAATTCCCTATTTTGGAGTACCTATATAAAAATCTTCAATAAATTTTCATTATCACAGAACAAAATTCAGTTCACTAAATAATGACTTGAGACTTTCCATACTATTCTTTCAGAATATAACATGTTTATTTCAGGGATTTCTTTTTTTATGACAAGGTTTCACTATGTCTTGATCCTCCTGCCTCAGCCTCCCCTTATCTGGGACCACAGGCATGGACTACCTCACCTATAAAGAAAGTGATTTCTCTCTTTCTTTCTTTTTTTTTTCACAGTTGTGGGGGTTTTTTGTTTTTTGGGGTTGTTTTTTGTTTGTTTGTTTGGTTGGTTGGTTTGGTTTTAAAGAGGTTTTTTTTGCCATAGAGTGCGTGCGCTCATCAGAAAGAGACAGAAAGCAAGAAATCACCCCCCGGGGGGATGGCCACGCTGCAATCCCTTCTCCATTCTCCTCCAGGGATCTTGAGCATGCACACACACATGCCCAGCATGAGTTTAAGCCACCAGGTCTAGGACTCGAACCACAGTCAACTACATGGAAGTGCAGTGACAGCCATTACGCCAACTGCTAGTCCCTCTTTCTTTCTTTCTTTCTTTTTTTTTTTTTTTAAGAAATCAATTTTTGCTATAGAGTGCATGTACTTGCCAGAGCAACAGAAAAACAGAGAGACAGAAAGTGATCACCCCCCAAGAGGGTTGGCCATGCCACAATCCCTTCTTCATTCTTTTCTTGGGATTTTGGGTACACACGCACACGTGCCCAGCATCTCACTTTTCTTTCTGTCTCTTTCTCTGTCTCCAAGGAGTACATGTACCCTTAGCAAAGAAAAAAAAAAAAAAAACCTCTAATTACAAAAACAAAAAAATGCACACCCTAAATCTGATTGTAAAAAGACATCAGATAAGCCCACACTGAGAGGCATTCCATAAAATTGCTGGTCTGTACTTTTCAAAATTGTGACTATCATGAAAGAAAAGGAAAAAAAAAATGAATGCACATGAAATTTGTATTTTTTTCCATAAAGGACATTATTGAGACAATTGGCAACATTGAATAAGGTCTGTTAAGTGAGATAATAGTGTCATATCAATATCCAGTTTCATAAATTTTTAAGGTGTTTTTCTAAGAGAATTTTTTGAAAAAGTATATGCATTGGGACCAGTGGATGGCGTAATGATTACATAGCCGGACTCACACGTAGTAGATCACAGTTTGAGTCCTGAACTCTGCAGCTTGAAACTCAGGCCCGTGTACGTCCATGCCCAAGATCCTGGGGGGATAATGAAAGAGAAGGGATTGCAATGTGGTCATCCCCTCTTGGGGATGATTTCTCGCTTTCTGTCTGTTTTTCTCTCTCCAGTGAGCACACACTCACTATAGTAAAAATACCCATAAATTTTTTTAATAAATAAAAAGTATTCATTAAGTACTTAGAAGGTAACATTATACAATTCGTTCTCAAATGATTTTTAAAAATCACATATATGGGACCAGCAATTAGCGTAATGGCTATGTTGCTGCGCTCCCATGTAGTCGACCGCGGTTCGTGTCTCGGGTGACTTAAACCTCACGCCGGGCATGTGTGCATGCCTGCCCAAGATCCTGAGAGGAGAATAGAGGAAAAGGGATTGCGGCGTGGCCATCCTCTCTGGGGGGTGATTTCTCGCTTTCTATCTCTCTGTCTCTCTCTGTCTGGCAAGCACATGCGCCCTATAGCAAAAACTTCTCAAAAAAAAAAAATAATCACGTATAAAGGAACCATCCAGAGGCATGATGGTTGAGGCAGCTGGATATCCCACATGGCCAACTGTGTGATTTGAGTCCTTGTACATGCATGCCCAAAATCCAAAGAAGAGAATGGAGGAGAAGGGATTGTAGTGTGGCCATACTCCCAGGGATTGAAACCTCTGTCTCTCAAGCATGCACATCTTATAGCAAAACTAAAAAATTAAGTAAAATCCTTCTAGCACTCTAACTCAGCTCAAATGTGACCTCTTTTACAACATCCTCCCTGACTCTGCAGTTGTTCCTCTTACCTCTCACTTCTTACCTTTTCCTGGATTTAATTAGACTTTAATTAGTCTTTGTCCCTTCCTAGATTTTATGATAGCATCTTTTGCACTTAATCACAACCCTATTTCAACAGTCTTATTACTAGTCTTTCTGCTTCTATTCTGTAGTTCCTCTGTAGTAGCCTATACTTTTTTTTTTTCCCAGAGGGATTTTTGCTATAGGGTGCATGCATTTACCAGAGAGACACAGAAAGCGAGAAATCACACACATACCACTGCTCAGGAGGTATGGCTGTGCCACAATCCCTTTGCCTCCATTCTCCTCTTGGGATTTTGAGCACATATACACATGCGACCAGTGTGAGTTTTAAGCCACTAGATCTGGTATACAAACCACAATCAACTACATGGGAGTCCAGTGACATAACAATTACACCATCTGCTAGTCCCAGTAGCCTGTACATTATTGCCAGACTAGTGACATCCTGTATTTTGGAATACCTATAAAAAATCTTCAATAAGTTTTCATTATCCAGTTCACCAATAACAACTAGAGACTTTTCACACTATTCTTTCAGAATGTACCATATTTATTTCTGTTTTTGTGTGTGTGTTTTGGGGGATTTGTTTTGTGTTATGATAATGTTTCACTATGGTTTGATCCTCCTGCCTTAGCCTCCCCAATATCTGGGACCACAGGCATGGACTACCTCACCTATAACATGTTTATTTCAAATTCTACTTACCTACCTGCCTAGCTTCATTCAATAAGTATTGGAGCATGTGACCTTTGCAAGGTTCTGTGAAGGAGGGAAGTTTCCTAAATATAATAATACACTCATTGTCTTTGTGTCCACTTTTTGATTCCTTGTTTCCTTTTACTACTTCATTCCACAATGGGAGAAAAAAAATTTTGAGAACTCTCAGCCTTATTTACATTTAAGTAGAAAGTTCTGTTTTTAGACAAAACATAAGTAATGTAATGAAGTGTAGAATAGGTGGCAAGCCATCTAGCATAATATCTGGCTCATAACAAAAGTCCAATAAACTTTTACACTGAATTAATTCTGCTTAAATATTTTAGGGTAGAAATCTTTTTTTCTTTATGAAAGAGAGAGAGAGAAGGGAAGAGTGACAGAGGTAGACATTTTCTGACAGGTCTCATGTGTCAGGATTCTCCCATCCCAGCCTTCCGTTAGTGAAGATTACAGGTTTGTGCAAATGTAAACTGCGTGTTCACGTTAGCCTGGGAACCAAACAGGGCCTCCTGTGTAGTTTCAGCCTCTAAGCAGGGATGCTACCTGTATACCACCAACGTTAGGCCTAAAGGTAAAATTTAAAACTAAAATAAGTTACTAATTTAATAATTTTAGGCTTTGGAGACCTATTTTACTCATGGTAGTTTAACTGTTAACATTTGAACCTTATCTGCTATCATTATTTGTAATTGTATTACTTTAAAACACAAAGGCAAAAAAAATTAGGAATACTACTATGAGTTGCATGTGCTTTCAAAATCTTTCTGTACTCTCTTTATAGGTAATATGTAAAGTCAGATGTGCCACTGAACTTGACAAACACAAGTAAGTTTCACAAGTATCTAAATTTTCATCTAAAAATTCTAAGCCATTAGTTTATTAATATTAATGTTTATTATCTAAAAGATCTAAAAAATTTTTTATAGCATACTTCTAAAAGTAGAAGGGAATGGTTGTTGGGGATGTCTTACAGAGTTTCATAGAAAATCAAGTAGTTAGACTGGTTCAAAGAATGGATTGAGTTGGGCCAGCAGGTGGTGTGGTGATTAAGGTGTTGGATCCCAAATGATCAACTCTACAGTTTGAGTCCTAGACATGGCAACTTGAAAAATACACCAAGTATGTGTGCATGCATGCCCAAAATCCTGAGGGGAGAATGAAGACTGGATTTTGGTGTGGCTGCCCTTCTTGGGGGGTGATTTCTCACTTTCCCTCTCTCTGTCTCTCTCTGGTGAGTGCAAGTATCCTATAGCAAAACCAAAAAACAAACAAAATTTTTTTTAATTACTTATTTCTTTAATTCTATTTGGGTTTTGTTTTGTTTTGTTTTTTGGTGGTGGTTTTTTTTTTTCCAATTTGACCAGAGAGTGATAAAGAGAGAAAGGAAAAGGAAGAAAGCAAGTCGCCAGGTCTGGGACTTGAACCACAGTCAGTAATATGGGAATCCAACACCTTTAATCACCACAACACCTGCCAGCCCCACAAAAATAAGCTACTTGAATGAAGCCAATACTCCCCTTTTTTTTTTCTTTCTTTTCTTTATTTAGGTTTTTGCCATAGGGCATGTGCACTCACTTGTGGGGTTGTGGGTAGGGGGAGGTGGACAGTTAGGGGGAAAGTGAGAAATCACCCACAAAGGGGGATGGCTATGCTGCAGTCTCTGCGCACACACCCACACGCACGTGTGCACACACACACACACACACACACACACACACACATTTTCAAGCCACCAGGTCTGGGACCAAAACACCATACCACCTGCTAGCCAACTCCCAACTTTTTTTTTTTTTTTTTTTTTCCCGCTAGGCCCTATGCTCTCACCATGAGAGAAAAAGAGAAAGCACTACCACCACCCCACCACGACCATGCCAAAATCCCTTCTCCTCCATTCTCCTCTCAGGATTTTGAACACACACATACACTTGCCCGATGTATTTTTCAAGCTTTGAGTCCAGGATTTGAACCATGCAGTCGGCCATGTAGGATCCAGCCATCTTAACCACTATGCCACCTTGTTAACCCTCTAATCTCTTTTTTGCTGTTTAGCCAGTGCTGCTTCAAATACCAGATGTGGCTTCATGAAGTCCATACATACTAAAGTTAGGCTCTGCTGTTTGGGGTGATAAAGTATAGTGTAGTTTCATGAAATAAAATGTTTCAGTCCTGGTTAATCTCAAAACTGAAAGTGCTCAGCTGTGGAGTCAGAATAGGGTCTTCACACCCAGTTCTTCTACTAATTAACTTGCCAATTATGCAACTCATTTAACTTTTCCATGTTTTAGTTTCCTAAACTACTCTAGATCCCTGGATATTAGATCATTCCAAGGTCCTTTTAGATTCCAGTCTATGTAATTGTTTGCATCATTTAATCTGAGAGAATATTAAAATCTAACTTTTCAAACTAAACTGTATTTTTGCATGTATGCTTAACAAAGTTTGCTTGTTACAGACTACACATGACTGACCTTCATTTTATCTTGTGTAAACCATTTCCAAAAGCGGACAATGCTCTATGAGTTCCTTTATTGAAAATGATACAAAATAGAAAATATCAAGAATGCCAAATAAATTTCTGGATTATATGTGTTTAATTTGGGAATTACTATTGAAGAGACAGCTGTTACTGCTACTTGATACACATATTTGATACACCTTACTAGAGTTTTTATAAGGTGGTCTAATTTCTTTAGGCGGAAAGGTTAGGCATTTCACATTCAGAGTTGGTCTGAATACACAGTAAATATGCAGCTTTTAAGATGAAGCAACAATGAGTGCTTGAATCTATTAATATTTATACTGGCCCAATGTTCTTTAGTCAATTTTGAAAGCAGTGCTTACTATAATAATCAGAAGTTCATAAGATTGAACATTGTTTATGATGTGTTTTCTTTACATCTTAAAATTAATACTTCATCAGTTTAAACTTAGATTACAGTGTATTAATTTTCCAAGCAATTTATTAAAGCCCTGTAATTCTTAGAATGAAAAAGTCAGTGAAAATATGCTTAATAGTTATAAAAATAAAAAACTCAGGCCTGGCTGGTGGCTTACTGGATAAAGTAGTCACATCTCACATGGCTAACTGCATGGTTCAAATCCTGCACCAGGCCACTTAACAAACACGCCAAGCACATGTGCATAATGTACCCAAAATCCTGGCAGTATTGGAGATAGAGGAGAAGGGATTGTAGCATAGCCACACCCCACCAGAGAGGGCTTTTTTCTTTCTCTCTTCTTCTGCTCTCTGTATCTTTCTCTGGTTGAGCACATGTACTCTCCAGCAAAAATAAATAAATAAAAAATAAAAATTTAAAAAGTAGGTTATTTGAAATAGTGTTAAAATAATCCTATTATTTTTCTTTCTGGTAAAGGCAACTGAATTCAAGTTCACATAAGATTATTTCTGAACTAATGTTTAAAAATCTGTGCCAATTTAAAATGGTTTAGGCCCATAGCTGACAACACAGTTCAAATCCCAGCCCCAGCTGCTTGAAAAATATGTAGGATATATGTGCCCAAAATCCATAAAGAATTGAGAAATGGACAAGAGATTGTAGCATGACCACAACTCAATGGGAAGCACTCTCTGTCTCTTTACCTTTCTATCTATGGCAAACACACATGCCCTTAGACAAAATAAGAAAAAAATAAAACTTTAAATCTAATGTTTTTAAAGATTTGTTTCATTGTATTTATTATCATTTTTATTATTATTATTATTTTAATTTGCTGTAGGGCACATGTGCTCATGAGAGAGAGAGAGAGAGAAAGTAAGCCACCAGATCTGGGACTCAAACTGGTTATGTGGGAATGCAATGCCTTAATCACCACACCACCTGCTGGCCCTGGTTTAAATCTAACACCGAAGATAACACCGAAGATAGCCCAAGTAACTCAGAGACTCCTAAGTTTGTATTTAAAGAAATTATGAACATTTTAAACTGAAGTAATTAGTGCACCCAACATGATATACTAGTTCATAATTAATTTCTCATTAGTTTTATAAATATCTAATAAACATACTTTTTCTTTCAGAATTCTACTGCATTTGGGCTTTATACTGGCAAGTCTTCTCTTTTTAGTGGTGAACTTGACTTGTGCGATGCTAGTCCACGGAGATGTTCCAGAAAATCAGTTGAAATGGACTGTGTTTGTTCGAGCATTAATTAATGATAGTCTATTTATTCTTTGTGCCATCTCTTTAGTTAGTTACATATGCAAAATTACAAAAATGTCATCAGCAAATGTCTACCTCGAATCAAAGGTGAGTATATTTCTTACATTTACACTTGAAAATCTATGTTCAATTTTTTATCCTTATATTCATGTTAACCATATATTAATAGCAAGTTTATATTCCTTTTTCAGAAAGCATTCTGAATGACAGGTACATTTTGAGCATGAAATAATAGTCACTAGAAATTAAAGGATATTCCAAACTTGGTCCTTCCTAGACAGTGGTTTATTTAAAAAGAAGCTTATACTAAGCATATTGTATGTTCTCTGACTACAATAGAGACTAATTAAATTAAATAAACCAGTATTTATATGAACGAATGAAAACTAATCTAGTATATAAAACCATACTAAAAACTTAAGATTTTGTCTGGTAAGGGTGGTACTATTGCCATTAAACAAATCTACTAGGGCTGACTGGCGGCATGGTGGTTTAGGTGCTAGACTCCCTTATGGTGAAACATGGTTCAAGTCCTGGACCTGGCGACTTTCTTTCTCTCTCTCTCTTCTCTTCTCTCTCTCTTTCTCTCTCTTTGTGGTTATCAAACTTTAAAAATAATAATAGTGATGAACAAAATTAAACTTTAAAAAAATACAAAAATTTACCAGGTTATATCTACATATACTTGGACAATTCATGTTAAAATGTCATATAGATAAATGGTACTTATTTATATAAAGTTTCAGAAAATGTTACTCCACACTAATATCAAGTCCATATGGTATCTGAAATAGCTATAGTCATGTAGCTAAATGTATAAATGCTTTGCTTCTCCCTTTCCTTATGCTTTGTATCACCAAACAGAAGTTAAATGCTAGCCTGTGAACAAAGCACCATGGAAGTTTCTACTATCATTGCTTGACAGTGTGGTCAAGCAGTGAACTGGTCCTCCGGTGTGTGCATAGTATCAGGTGGGAACGTGTAGATATGTGGATATTGAGGTGTGGGTATATACATGCACATAGTTTTACAATTGCTTTTCAGGAGAGCTTGCTTAATTCAGCATCATTACCTATTCACTGAAGATAAGCAAGGTAGAATCAAAAACAGTTTCTGGAACATTTTTAAACTTCTATGTTGTCATTATCCTTAACACTGTCCTAATAGAATAAGGTAATAGAATTAAATGTATAGTAATCAAATCATCCTTTAAATTTAGGTGAAAACTTAAATTTTACTTTTTAGATTTTATTCAGGGTAGAATGTGTGTGCATGCTAACAAGAGAAAGACAGACAGAGAGGAGCACCTTGCAGAGGCTCTGGTCATGACACAATCTCCTTCCTCTAGCCTCTTGGATCTTGGGCACTCACACACCTGGCTGGAGTGTTTCAGGCTGGCCAGACCAGGGATTTGAATGATTGTTGCCATGTGGGAACCAGCATCTCCTGAGTAGCTCATTACTGCTGCACCACAGACCTGGCACATAATTATACTTTTTAAACATATTTCAGTGGAACGCCCCAAGGGAGATATATACTTATATGGAAAGAGAAAGAAAAAAAGAGAGACAAAAAGAGAGTCAGACTATCACACCTATTAATCTTACCATGAAAATTATTTTATTCGATTTCTACCTTAAAGAGTTTTTAGAATTTAAATATTTTAGCTAATTCTGCCTTTGTTATGCTGTTAAGAATAATACTGCCACTAGAAAGGACCAGCAGATGGAGTAATGGTTACATTGCTGGACTCCCACATAGCCGACCAGATTCAACAGCTTTAAACTCACGCCAGGTGCGTGTACTTGCATTCCCAAGAAGCAGCAGTCCTGAATGGTGTTTCGTAAACTGAAGAGGTACCTAGTTTACAGTTCTTTTACATTACATTTACAATAGTGCTTGTACAAGCTTGCCAAAGATAGAATATGGATCGCCAGTCTTTTCTTTTTTTTTGGAGAGGTTTTTGCTATAGGGCGCATGCGTTCGCCAGACAGAGACAGAGACAGACAGAGAGACAGAAAGTAAGAAATCACCCCCCAGGGGGGATGGCCACACTGCAATTCCTTCTCCTCCATTCTCCTCTAGGGATCTTGGGCATGCACGCACACGTGCCCAGCATGAGTTTCAAGCCACCAGGTCCAACCGCAGTCGACTACATGAGAGTCCAGTGACATAGCCATTAGACTAACTGCTGGTCCCCCCAAGAGGAATTTTTTTTTAAAGAATTATTTTATTTAACTTTATTTATTTATTTTAATTTGACCAGAGAGAGAGAAAGAGCCACTAGGTCCAGGATTTGAACCACGGTCGGCCATGTGGGAGTCCAGCACCCTTAACCACCACACTACACGCCAGCCCCCAAGAGGAATTTTTTTAAAGACTCAGACTTTGCTTTTCTATTTTCCTCTCCTTCTTTTACCTATTCTGTGTAATGAGATGCTCCATTCTTTGTCTCAATGAAATCTTTACCTACTTTATTTCTAAATGACACAAGTATCTGTCCTGTCTCTTATCCTTAGGTTATTTCATCATCCAGGAAAGCCTTTCTCTTTTCCAGTGCCATTTGTCCATACCTCATCCAGATTTAAAGATCTCACTACATAAGGTTTTCCCTTATGATCTCAGTTTGCTCCCTTTCAAATAAAATTTAGAATAACTCAGTATCTAAATTATCTTAAATTTGTTTTATTCCTCTCTAGATACTTACCAGTTTATACTTGCTATGTAGCATTTGTGTGTACATGCCTATTTTTTCTGAATAAATTCTGAGCTCTTAGAAGGCAGAGCCATTTATTATTCATATCTCCCTTGGTGCCTTACACTTGCAGGTCAGTGAATTATATTTGAATAATGGCCTACAAGTTTTATTTCTGTCCAGTTCCATACCTCATCTGCTGTTTGGATGTTTTTACCAGTCTTTACCTCATTCTTTCCCCACCCGTAACCCATACCTCTCTGTAACTCTCTAATTTCATCATTGTCATCATTCTCTCAATGATTCATACTCAAGTTTAGACTACTCTGGTCTGTATTTTTTTAGAAAAAAAATATTTATTTAACTTTATTTATTTTAATTTGACCAAAGAGGAAGAGGAACAGAGAGAGAGAAGGAGAGAGAGAGGGAAAGTGAGAAAGCAAGCCTCCAGGTCCAGGACTTAAACTGCGGTCAGCCATGTAGGAGTCCAGTGTCTTTAACCATCATGCTACCTGCCATCCCTACTCTGGTCTTTCTTCATACCTTGTCTCCTAAACCTGACTCCAGTCAACTTTTTCACTTAAAAATGTTTCTCTATCTATTTTTCCCATTTGAGCAACTTTGTAGGAATCAGTAAACATGCCCAAGGTCACACATGAACCAAGATTCAAACTCAGGTCTGACCACAGGTCTCCACTCAGTAACTACTGGTCCTCATGACCACTGGTTAACTCTGTTTACATCCCCTGTGTGTATTTATAATCTTTTAAGTATGCATTTATAAATAGCTATAATTTACATGTATGTTTGTTTCTAAGTGTTTTTGTTTTTAAGATTTTTGCACTCACCAGAAAGAGACAATGAGAGGGAAAGTGAAAAATCATCCTGAAAGGGGAAGGCCATGCTGTAATCCCTTCTCCTTACAAAGTTTTGCCATGCTACCCGCTCAAAAAATAAACCATTGTTGGGCCCAGTGGATGGTATAATGATAACATTGCTGGACTCCCACATAGTCAACTGCAGTTCGAGTCCCAGACCTGGCAGCTTAAAACTCACTTTGGGGGGAAGGAGGTGTTGGCAGGTGGCATGGTGTTTAAAGACTGACTTCTACAAGGCCAACCATGGTTCAAGTTCCGGACCTGGTGGCTTCCTTTCTCATGTTTCCTCTCTCTCTCTCTCTATCTATCTATCTCTATCTCTATCTCTATCTCTGTCTCTCTCTGGTCAAATTGGAGAATAATAATAAATTAAATTAAAATAAAATAATTCTTTAAAAAAAAAAAATCACTCCAGGTGTTTGTGTATGCCCTAGATTCCAAAAGGAGAATGGAGGAGAAAGGATTGCACCATGGCCATTCTTCCTGGGGAGTGATTTCTCACTTTCTATCTCTGTCTCTCTCTGTCTCTCTACTAAGTACACGTACTCTATAGTAAAAATCTCTTTAAAAAAACTAAACAAAAAAGATACATAAACCATTATATAATGCTATCATCAATGTATTGATATAAGTGTACCTTGTTATCTCTGCTCCATCAATGCATGGGTTCAAATTTTATTTATTTAGATTATTTTAACGATATGCCTTAAAAGTTTCAGTTTAGATTTATTTACTTGATATGCTTATATAATTCCATGTAGAGTTTAATTACCCATATTTTTTAACTATTTCTCAATCATTTATAGAGCAGAAGCTGGGTAGTTGTCTATATATTTGGTATATAAGTTTTCTGTGTATATTAAAATATTGCCTTTGTTGGGACAGCCGTTGTCATGGGCTAAGGCAGCTGGATCCCACATGGCAGACTGCACAGTTCAAGGCCCAGACCTGGTGGCTTGAAAGACACTCCAACTGCATGTACATGTGTACCTAAAATCCCAAGAGGAGAAGAGAAGGAATTATAGCATGGTGATCCCCTTCCCCCAGAGGTGTGCTTTCTCTCTCTGTCTCTCCAGTGAGCATACACAGCCTATAGCAAATAAAATAAAAATTTTAAAAAGAAAGATATAAACAACCTCCTTTTAAGGCTATATAACATTTCATCATATGCTAAAATTTAATTCTTGTCTTACTATAGGCCTTTAATTGGTTTTAAAAAGATACTATCAGCCTCCATATTGTTAATTTTCTTCAAAATCATTTTTGTTTTGTTTTTTTAAAAAATAAAAGTGAGTTAGCCACTTACTAATTACATCTAGAACTGTCTACCCAAGTCTCAGTTTATAGAGCACTTAATTATCCTTTATGTTATCTTTCTTATGATTTATTTTTTAATTTATACTTTATTCTTTTTTTTCTTTTAATTTGCCAGAGGGCATGTGTGTGCACCAGAGAGGACAAAAAGAGAGGTAAAATGCAAAAGCACCCCCAATGTGGGATGGTCATGCTACAAT